AGTGACAATAGTGCTGATGGCGCCGAATGAGACTTTTCGAGACCATGGGCCAATAAGCTGTGCGTATAGCTTTCTGAGATCGCCAGTTTGAAATCCTTTTTTGCAAAGCATCCACTGGTGTTGGATTGTTTGGAGTGTCTCGTCCTGACCTTGCACTTACGGGAAGAAATCTGATCTAGTTTTTCGGAAGTAGTGGCTCCTGTGAGTCCTAATCTCACAACATTTCAATGTACAAGCTTCAATAGTAGCCCCATATCGACTACATTCACTCAATCCTAACATTAGACAGCATCTCACTTTCGCTACCGTATCGCGATTCCGCTCGCCAACGTAAACATGCACCACGTTTGATGCGTGGGAATTTGAGCAAATATGTCCCGGAAGTGTTTGTTTGAACTATTTAAATCACGAAGCTTTTGTCCCTAATTCAAGAAGTGCCTATTCGCGAGAATAAATTTTGTCCTTTCAAGAGGTTTTGTAGCGCAGTGGCCAAACCTTTCCCGAATTCCGTTTGTTTGAAATGTTTGAATGTAATATTACTTCATGGCTTAAGGTAGCCACAGTTGTGACCACTGGTAACTCCATGACTCGCTGGTCATTCTCACCACTCCTAGAAGCCCTAGGAATTGGTTTGTGTAATGCAAGAGTGTTACCAGGCTGCTAGGTCATGCCTGCGTGCTGCTTATGATGTGGTTTGAGCAATACATGGCTGTGGGGAGACAGTGAGCAACTATAGCTCAAAAGAGTGAGGACTTGTGAGTTATGTGGCCATCTGAATTGCCGGAGCAACCCGAAATGAAAAGGACTATTCAAAGCAGATGTTCTTGGAGGTACAGGAACATAGAGGACAACACGACTTGATACAACGCAACTCATCATCATCATATCAATCATCAGGCTGACACTCCAGCACTGATGCGACTCTGAATGGAGTCTGAGCCTAGGAATAGGATCAGGAAGAGCGTTACTGAATGGTTTGACGTTTCAAGCCAAATTTCTCACCAGAAACTCTGTACCGAAATTATGTTTTCAATGTCTCGGCGCCATAAACCGTCCTGGAGTAGGCCTTAAGAGTGACCGCAAACTAATAATTTTTGACCTAACCGCCCTTTTTGTTGTGGTCCTGCATGATTTCTTTCGAAGTCTTAGTGACGGGCGTTTTGGTCATACAGCGACTAAACGGGGTTAGCGTTTGCATCCTCCCAGGCAAGTCTGGTGCAAGTGAACAATCTAGTGAGATTCAGGGATTGTTTTGTTAGGATCCAACCAAGGTGTGACTTCTGTAGATGCACTAGCTGGTTTTCCCCCCTCCGGTCACCCGCGTACCGCTGCCAGCCAAGTTTCTTTCTATTTTTACAGGGTACTTATATTTTGATGAGCGGGAAGTGGTGCAGTGACAGTGGCGCGCTCACCACGCGAGCGGTCCGGGATCAAATCCTGGGTCGTGAGTCGCCCGGGCCAACCAAGCCTTCCATCCCTCCGGGGTCGGTTAATTGGTACCAGACTTGTCTGGGAGGATAAAAAAAAACACTGACTTGAACATCGGCTGGCCCCCGCAAGTCATTGTATATAATAAGTAGGGACGACATCGCATTCCAGACGCACTCCAAATGTAGAAATAGAAGTGGATATGCGTGCGCGCAACCAAAGGAATGCTGAACGGCCGATGCATTATACTCGCTTTTCCTTTATATTTTGATCAGCTTTCCGTTATTATCGAAAGCCCAAGATGCTGTGTCTGAGTGATACTGGATTTTTCTGAATATGAAAGAGAGGATTCAGGTGAAGGAGACCGTCAAGCCTACAGCAGCGCCTCGATTCGGAGCCGGCCGAAGGTGTTTTGTCTAGCCGGATCGATGAATGTTAAGACGTCTCTGGATTGCTAGAGTCTAACCGTTGGAAAGCAGTTTTTTCATTGTAACACCCTCATAGGAGTAATGTAAGCACGGCTATTTACCGCGCTCTCACCTCGGGACCGGGCAGTTCCCGTCATAGCAACTAACGCTATGATAAGCATAGAATACGGAAAACTATTAATTTTGTGGTTTTCTTAACGTAATTTACAACCCAGCGGATACTAAACCAAACGTTTCAGCGTCATACTATTTCAGGTGCGGTAATAACACACGTAGCAGGAGCAGGAGAGTCCCGCTTCGACAATTCAGTGGAGGCAGGTAGCATTTCGGAGTGGACTTTCTTTCTTAGGTACCAAGACTGGTAAGAAGCCCCTGTTTCTCCATGGTGCTGTGGGCTTTTCAACCGTTGTTACAGATTAGCTTAAACCCTGCACTATAAGTTAGCGCGTCCCATTGTCAATAAAAGGGCAGACGCAGACAATCTTCCCTATTTTTATATTTTGCGCGTTTTCGTTAGTGTATGATTTATAGAAATTGGTCGCCCCACAAGTGGCGGAAGTGGTGCAGTGACAAGTGGCGCGCTCACCACGCGAGCGGTCCGGGATCAAATCCTGGGTCGTGAGTCGCCCGGGCCAACCAAGCCTTCCATCCCTCCGGGGTCGGTTAATTGGTACCAGACTTGTCTGGGAGGATAAAAACACTGACTTGTACATCGGCTGGCCCCCGCAAGTCATTGTCAGGCAAACCCGCGATGTCCAAACGCAGATTTGGTCAAATGGAAGTGATATGGCTGCCGCATCCCAAAGGATTACTCAACGCTTTTTGCTTTTTTTTTCTTCATTCCAGCGAGTTGGCTAGCAGCGCTAGGCATACGCGTTATACGAATACTGGGGTGGGTTTGGGGATAATAGCTCTGAATATTTTCTTGCAGTTTGGTCACAGGAGCACGCCTAAACGTGCACGCGCGGGTAAAAAGGGAGATTTGCAGAGGCGCACATCAGCAAACTTTTCGCTACACAGGCTATCGCTGCTGATGGAATCCTACGACAGAGTGTTCCTGAAATGTACCTCCACGCCGAAACAAGCCATTGTCTGTTGGCCGCCCTCACCTTCTTCAGAAAATGAGTCATCCATCGCCGCTGTCGAGCTCAAGGTCACCTACAGTAAATGCTCCAGCCTCGCAAGCTGAAGCTAAATTCCAATCGATTAATTTGTGGGCAATCAGGAACAGTACCTCAGAGACAAGGCTGACATCGTCCGTTCAGAAGGCTACAAGAAGATAGTAAATAGATCCGTATGTCCTCTTCAGTATATTACACAGAAGCATCGTTTGAGTCTAGCGAAGTGTGATTGATTCCGTTTGAAATATGGGTGGAGAGAAGCTTTTTCTCGTCTACCCCTCCTGTATAAGGCTAGTTGTAAATTGCCCTGTGGGCAAAAATCAGTGGGCAGATCACTGATCATCTTTCTTGGCGACCCTTTGTACGAAAGGTATCGTGGAATCCGACGAACGCTTTCGCTCTGCTCGTCTTCTCTCACTCCTCCTTGCCCATCATCATCGTAATTCTTCCAGGGAATCCAGTGATCTCATGTGAGCGTGATCGTATTCTTGTCACAATCGCAACAACTCGTCCATTTGCTGGGAAAATTTTCGTGAAAGGCGAATACTCCAATCGACAGTGTATGCGAGCGTACGTAAACGGTTTTCCAGTACCATCAGAAGGTGAGCGAACAATTTCATATATGTGGCAACAAATCGATGTTTCTATTGCTTTCTTACAGACACGCTTCTATCACCCTCTCCTGAACGATCACCTCACAAAGATGAAAAGCTGGGAGGTGAGCCAGGCACTAGTCTTTCTCTCTGTTTTCCTAGCCTTCCCTCAAGTATCCTAAAACAGTACTAACTAATAAAAGCGCCAAGAAGTCCAAATTTTTCCATGTTTTCTCAGCTTTTTTTCGTAGAAATTCAAAGCAAGCCTGACGTTCGGGAAACGTTCAGTTCTTTTCTTAGGTCAGGTACCGAGGTTGCGCGAGGATTAGAGCCTCAAGTTAGGCACAAGCCTTAGTCAATGGCTCCTTCTTATATATATGACAGATTATGCTTAAGCTCTAGGCCTTGAATTAGGACTTAGGCTTGTGACAGAGCTGATAAGTGTTCGAATATGGGTGACCTGACGCGGGAAACACCCACCATTGGATTTACCCTTCAAAATTCTGGTGGTAACAGGGCTACTCTTTCGAGATCACTGACTGGGATGTCGTTCATGTGGTAGCGCCACTTAACGTTCTCCTTATAGCTCCAATCAAGTTTCATTCTGGCTTGAGTGAGTCAACTCTTTCACGATTGCGGGCGAAAAAATTCCTCTGCGTTTATTTCGCCTGGCCGGCTTCAATTGAAAATTTCAATATTTTTAGGCGTGACTGCTGTACCCGATGCATCTCAAGAAATGGGCGGAGACTACCTAGACAGTGCAGAAATACTCCCTTCACCAGAACAAGCTGGTCGTTTTTTGAGTGATGGCGATTTGCAGGTGTCCAATCGAGCTAAAGCTGCAGACGCCCACGAGCATATGCCAGGAAGTGGCGATTACTTCACCAGTTCTAAGTGGTCAGGCTACGGTGGAGCCAGCTCAAGTGATCACCGCGGTAAGCCCTACGTGGGCGCTTTCGGAGGATCGCGACTGGAGGAGATCACGTCCACCGTGATCCCGGGTTTGAAGGTCTACCAGAAATCAAAACTTGTCGATTCTCAAGAAATACCAAAGTACCCGGGACCACAGGGACTCACTTCCGCAAACTGTCCGTTGAAATGTGAGCCTTGTTGTGTTTGCACAAAACAGGAGAAGATACAGGAACGGCGGAGAAGAGACACCAACACCGTGGAGCTATCAGTGCCATTGGGAGCTTGCAACACGAAGCGCGACAGAAAAGTGAGTTTTCGCCTTTTCCTTTTCTTTTGGTATGGGACAAGATATTTCGTATAAGGGGGATAGCGCATTCATTTCGGGCAGTACAAGCCCCATTCTATATCGTAGTCAGCCAAAGCGCACCATGAACATGAATTTGGCGAAAAAATCGTTCAGAAATGACTGTGCTTCCATGTACAGTTGCTTCGAGTTTTTGATAGATTTGGAATTGAAGTGCTAACTATGTGCTTGCGGTTCCTACTACATAATTTGCCTGTGTGAAAATCGTGTCGCCTACCAACTATTGATGTATAGGAGGTATCAAGAGAGACCGCTTGGCAGTAGGAGCGCAATAATGTGGTGAACCCACCCTCGCGAACCCCTTCACCACCCTCGCCATCATGGTCGCTGTTTCTATAGTATTTAATTCTGAGACCAGTCGACACACCTAACTCCACCCACTTTTCCCTCCAAAACAGCCGTCGAGCGGGGGGGGGTATACGTACAGTGAAACGGCAAAATTTTTCCCGCTCCTTCACACTACGCGCCCTAAACTCACCCATAATTCTAAGATTACATCGAATACGACCCCCTCCCCCACCTCCCCACCTACAATCTCAACAAAATACGACCCCTCCTCGCTCCCCCTGGTACTTGACCCTGTTCCCAAGTCCTTCGCTGTGTGCCTTCTTGGTGGGTATTAACAAGCCTTCACATTTCGACTTACCCTACGAGGGATTTCGTAGGGATTCCCATGAATCAAGGATGCATCGACCCATTCACCAAGGGCGATTTGGTCTGGCCTTCAGTATTCAAGTTGCAATTGCGCTCGCTTGTTTATGTACTAAGCTTTGCCTTCGCCTTGTCCTGTATATCTGTCCATGAGTGAGGTGCGAATTGAGTTTATTGATGACCAAAAACCTTCAAAGCTTAGCCGTCGGTCTTTTTTTCAGTGAGGGCAACGAAAATGCGTTCGGCGTATCCCGGAGGCTTCGCAAAAAGCTTTCGAATGGAAAAACGCAACAAAATTGCTCTCATGATGCTTCCATTAGTAACACGATAGGCAACGCGTTATTAAGTGAGACGGGCAACCAGCCGCGAACAAAATCGGCGGTCATCTAGTCGGCTGAAGGGCTCGACACGGGGTCGACAATGGGCAAAAGCGACCACACATTACAAGCGCATTCGGACCAGAATTGCACACGCCAGCAATGCAGATCGAATATTTCTGGGTGGTGACAGGAAACTCCTGCAGGGCGCTCTTATAAAGAAAAAGTGAGAAAATAGCAAAGAATTAGGGAAAGCGAATACCTGCTTCCTTTGGTGCAAGGACTGCTATGTGGTTTTGTTGGAGGCTAACAGGTGCCGCACAGGGAAGCAAGCGGTCCTCATCAGGACTCTCGAAGCCACATCACGCCGCGAGAATGCGACATTCACAAGCCATCTTTTACCATACGCACAGTAACGTATCTCATCCACATCCAGTGAAATGTCTTCTGATTCAGTAGCGCGACAATTTGCGCATGGGAATATACCTGCTGAGAATCCTTCTCTCTCCTGACCCAAAAGGACGCCAACTAACTATTTTAAAAGCGAAAGTTCTATACACTTACACGATGGCAATTCACAAAAAGCGAAGAAGAACTCTGATCCAAGGAAACGCTTAGGTTGAACCTTGTGACCTCAGTAATGCGGGGCGCCAGACAACAGCTTGCCCTGGACGGGGACATTGCGCTGCTGCGGCTAAATTGGCATGGCCCTAGGGTCTTTTCGGGTGATTTCCATGCACAAAAGTGCCATATCTGTGACTGACCTCTAGGGGTTTATCCTCAAGACCAAAGGGAATTAATCACATTACCTCTGTCCGTGTTGTGCATTTAAAGCCGTTCCTCCTCGTTAGAAAACAGATGAGCCATTGCATTACTATTTGCAACTGTGCCAGAGAGCACCACACCCATGCCACAAGGACGTTTGGTTAGCATAAATTTAGTAGCTCCCGCTGAGTTGAGTACCTTAGCGACAGCGCACATTTTCGCATTTTTAGCTGCGCGCCGGCGCGATTTCGAGGGCGCGGTAGTCTCAGCCCATGGATTTTTGTCAGAGGCATGATCGATTCAAAATTACAGCAATGATTATTGCTCAAAAGCTATCAAGGAGAAGAACTAGAATTTCGACTAAAAGGAAGCTTGAAGGAAGGAAGGTTCACGCTACAGTAGAGTAGAGGTCGAAGAAGGAAAAACATACTTTTAGGAGAGGGGCAGGCCTGCTCAGGGCAGGTCAATCGTTCGTCAGGCCGATACAGACGGGAATCGTTGTTAGCACTCGGGATGGGGAACTCGTAATTGTAGAGGCCAACGAATGAAGTGGCGGGGTCGGCATTGCTAATAAACGGAAGTGGGACCAGGGAAGGGGTCTTTCCATTCTCTGGCTTTCAGCAATAACACAACAAAGATCAGAGTAGCTATAATAAGATTGAAGTTTTTGAATGATTTTGCGACTTCGAAAGCACAGGCGCATGCGTGAAGTGTCCAAGAGCGGGGATTGCTAGCGTTAAGCGCTTTGATTCATCTCAAGCGAAGACATTGCATTGGAGGGGTTCAGATGTTTGCAAACAAAAGTGCACGCAAGGAACTGTACTGATATGGACTGCTCTCGTAATTCAAAAGTAAAATGTTCAACGAGAAGAATTTTCTAAGGTATTCGGCAAAAAATGAGACTTTCTGCTCCCAAATCTCCCAATATCTAGTGGGGCGCTTCCTTTTGTTCCCATTTATCACTGTCAAGGAAGTTGTGATCGTTGGAGTCGCAACAACTCGCTCGCCTGACAAGATTATGTATATAGAAATCCCTAAAGAAATAAAAAATGTCCAGACGAGCGGACTTGGCGAATGATGAAGTTTAAGAGTTGGATGAGGTCTTAATAGAAATTTTGATTCTTCAGTTTTTCCCAGTGGTCCCATATAATCCACTCAGAAGAAAGTTACATACATTCGTCAGAACTCAGAAGCTCGCGTTCGCCAAAAACATTCAAACGTAGGATTTTTTGATAGTTCTATTCACGGAAGCTTCCGCTATGGCTCGAAGACAGGACCGCCTGAGTTATCAAAATCTCCTTGTCAGGTTTCAAAAATCCGCCTATAAAGTAAGATATGTCTTTGGAATTGAGCGCATTTCTACGGATTCCAGTTACCATAACAGAATGGCTGTAGAACCTCAGAAGGAATATGGAACGTTACTGAAAGGGATGGTCTAGTGAATCTGAAAACCGCTCGCGTTTTTGTAAAACTTCAATTTGGAAGGGTTAGGCTCATTTTAAGGGTGTTACTTCACAGCCTCCTCCCTTAGCCGTGCACCGCGTAGCGGGTCGTGCTTAAGACGGAAGGCTGTCGGTGAGAATAAGATAAAAATAAATAAATAAATTCCTTGCCCAAATTCGCCCGGAAGTGGCGGGTGATCCAGTTGGAAGACAAACACTATTCGGACAATGATGTGGATGTACTTCGAAAAAAAACGTAGTATAGTCTACAGAAGTTCTTATCGTTTTTTTCTTTTCACCACCTTTTTCTTTTTTCGATTTTTATGCAGCTTCGAGGAATTTCTTACTGCATCCTCCACTTTCCATAGAAGACAAAAATAGACTCCACCGATCTCAATTGTCCGAAATCAGCGGTTATTTGCGCTGTCTAAAAGTTTCGTTTGAGTAAGGCCATCAGATGATCACTGTGATGAAAAAAAACAGTGAACAAATGGCAGAAGCAGATGCCCACAAAATACTAACTTTACTTCCAATTCATTGTGTTCACATCAGACGGTTTTCGATTGCAGTTATCGCCACCTACTCTATCGGTGTCGTTCGTCGCGGTCATCTCGTTCCACGATTCGTTTATCACAAAACTCGATCGCGCTTACCGTATTCAATGTGCCTATGTGGAGGCGAACAGAAGTCTCAGCACTCAGCTAGACGTTGGGTGAGTGAAAACCTTTCCACAAGATTGCTCTGCTTTTTACTTACGGTGACCACAACGTAGTGATACTAGACTTTCTCCTTCTGTTGCTCCGTTCGCCCTTGCAGATACCTACAAAAGCGCACCCCACAGCTCTGAGCAATAAGCTGCAAGTGCATTGGATGAAACCAAAGTTCGGAAAGGAGCACTCCTGTTATTTTTTCGTAATACTAGAAGAGAACACTCCTATTGGACTCCAACCCCTAGCGAAGGCTGAGATAATAGGTGAACACTCATTTCAAAAGCAGTTTTGATCAGGACCGGTCTGTGCCCTCCATCACGCACATCCTGCTCTCATCCTAGACAATTTGCATGTGATCATCCACTCTAGACTCCTACACCCTTGCGCCGAGGAAGAGTGATTTATACTTAGTCAGCGACCGCGTTCGTTGGACCGACAAGCAAGACGCAAATCTAAACAGCGAAATCTAAAAAAATCAGAAAAAGCGCCATACCGGACGTCACCTGGCTGCCTTTGATGCTCAATTAGACATCTAATTCGTTATATGTTCAGAGAAACTCCCGTACATTTGCTTATTCAAAAGTAATGAAGGTTTATTTGCAGTACACTGGCGCCGTCGCAAGTTAACGGGACAGCTCCGCCACCTGTCTGTGGTTATCATATCTCTGGCGCCAACGGTCAGCAGATCCAAAACGTTCGTGTTGGCGACCAGGTAAAAAAACACGAATGGATCTGCACCACGTCGGCACCAAGTGAGTAGCTATCAAAGGGGCCTTGGTCCTTATGTGTTTGAATCTCTAAATTGAAGTAAACAGGCATTTTTCCTTGCCTCTAGAAAGCATCGCAACAAACCCGGATTTCCCAACATTCGATGAGGTAAATAGCGGTGAGAGTCGACGGGCGAACAAAGCGGCGTGTCTATACGATTCTATAGCACACAACCGCATTAATGCACGCTATTATATTTACCTTACTATCGTTTTTCTTATACGCTACGTCATAATTCACCTTGCATGCAAGGGGGGATGGCGACGATCCCCACCCACCAAACCTACTCTCATATATCATTAGCTTAGATTTGTTCCTCACTAGCTAATCACAATGCACGTGCCTCAGCGCACATACGTCCCATCCCACCCCCCCAAACCCCCCCCCCCCCCCTTGACTTTTGAGCCGTTACACGGACATCTGCTCCGGAAGGCAGGAAACTTAACCTTATCCACAAAATAGATTGTTTCTATACGTTCTTGTCTGAGGTTGTTGCAATGAAGAGCTAGACAATACCAGAAATGAAATGGTAAACATAACTCTGAGCAAGTTTTTTCGAATTGTCGATCATTCGAGTTTCGAGAAGCAAGCAGATTACCAATAGCTATCACATTCCCATGACATGTGTAATTCAAGATAGTAATGAACAGAAAACGATTTGAGGTGTAGGAACTAACTTTTGTCCGGATGGATAAGGGGTCTCTTTCTCTAAGATTGATTGTTCCACATGAATCACGAGAGCTTGTTATTGTCTGTGATGAGACTCTGCTAGCGAATCGTGAAAACCCGTGCGAAGTGTAAAAAGGGACAGCTTTGAACACTAATGAAAATAAATGAGCGCCCGCCAGAAAGAATCTGATCAAAAATAACAGGCTTTTAGGATGAATTGGAATTCACTTCATAGTACTTTTAACTTACAGCTCTTAAAACAGCTTTTTCAGAATTATACTCTATGCTGATCCACTCATGCTACATTGAAGACGGTGCTGGTCAACGTTATCAAGTGATTGATGAGAATGGGTGAAATTTTCAGTTTTTTTCGAGCATTATTCATCGCGTTCTCTTCGAAAAGGCCTCTTATTCTCCTGTTGATGCACTGGAGCATGTTACGAAATAAAAAGTCCTTGCCACTTGATGATGACCCCGTTTCGGTAAACTGAGTTGACTGGAATATTTGATTCAGAATTTAGTCCCTGGTGCGTATGGCAAGTGGTGCCGCCTACTAAGCGTAGTATGAATGTATGAAAACGGCTTTGATTGATTCCAAGTCGTCTCATCTTGAAACCTCGGCATTTTCGTGTTGTTATTGTAATTGTTGTTGTACTTCTGCCTTGAGGTTGTTAAGGTGGAAGATTTATTCTGGCCAACGTTTCGACCGTTCCGTCGTTTTCAAGGCCTGAACATGGCTCAAAGCTTAAGAAGTGCACACTACCCTATCAAACGCCTCCTCCCTCTAGCGTACGGAAAACCCCAGAACTCAAAAGATAAGCTCACCTTGTTCCACCGCGAAGTGTAGCGAAGCACTACACTCAGTTAGTAAACATTAGTAGCGAATGATGTTACTTTGCTGTCCTTATACTGTATCAGTATATCGGACAAGCACGTTCGCTGATTATGCAAGAAACTCGCAATGTTGCATGAATGGCAAGAGATCATTTGTGATAGACACACACTCATTTCGGTTATTCATTTCTGGATTTCTGGCTGAAATCCAGAACGCTTTCAATGCCTTGTAACACATTACAGCGCCGCTTACCAGCCAAATGTTCTTTAATCCGCACTGATAGAACTCTCCCAGTTTCCTCGCAGAGTCTGTTCCTCACAATTTGGCGTTTGATGTTATCGTTCAGGATGTTAACTAGAATAACATTATTTGTGTTTCTGCTGTCAACGCGGGGTCTTCCAACATGATGTGATACCGTATAGCCATTTGATCGAGCTATGCTTGAAGCTAACCGTTTTGATTCTTCACGTTCGGTTACATCGCTGCACATACTTCCATAATCAGCGAACGTGCTTGTCCGCTATACTGATACTGTATAAGGACAGCAAAGTAACATCATTCGCTACTAATGTTTACTGAACTGAGTGTAGTATTCGCTACACTTCGCGGTGGAACAAGGTGAGCTTATCTTTTGAGTTCTGGAGTTTTCCGTGCGTCCCTGACAGGACGTCAGAAACGCTAGAGGGGAGAGGCGTTTGATAGGGTAGTGTGCACTTCTTAAGCTTTGAGCCATGTTTAGGCCTTTGAAAACGACGGGACGGTCGAAACGTTGGCCAGAATAACTTCCACCTTAAAGGAATCTTCGCGGAAAATTCTTGCATTCTTTTTCAACATGAATGTATCAGTTGTGATCACTAGAATGCAACACAAAGTTTCACGCATGAAGATTCGGTTTCCGAAGAGAAACAAACCC